GAGAGGATATCACTTAAACAAAGTTCAGGGTGTGATTTCAAGTGGAATTTCTTGCGCTCAAGGCAAACAGACAACAACAACAAAAAATGCCGTTTTAAAGTAGAAAAAAATATTTTTATTACATTGCTACATTCTCAATTTCGTGTATTTACTAAAGCTAAACTGGATGCATAACATAAGAATGACTGCACAGACTTATTGGAAAAACCAAGCTTCCCATGAAAAGGAAATAACAAAATGCAAGAAGCCTGATAAGAGGACTATGCCACTGATCTGCTGGGAGGCCACTGGCCCGTTCTTGCAGTTCAGAGGCATCGCCTTTGAGCTATGCAGAGTCCCTTCTGAAAGAAGAACACACTGTCCAAAGCGAGACAGCACATCCCTGCTACCGGCTCTGCCAAAGAGAAAAGTCAGCATCCCAGCTCAGCAAGGGATCGCTGACCCCTCAGCGCTTGGCTGGGCTGGAAACAGCTCCGGATGCACACAGGTGCAGCAAAGGAACGCCCACGCTCCGGATGGGCCCCAGGCAGCCTGCGGCAGCCGTCTGGTGTGCGGCCTGCCAACCTGCTCCTCGGGTCTCCCCAGGTGCTGGGCAGATGAGTCCGCAAGGCGAAGCTCCCCCCTGCCAACCTGCAGGGAGCTGGCCTCTCCCGCCCTCTCCCCCTCTTGACGTTTTTCACTCCCCTTCCTCTCTCCCACGACCTCCGGAGACGCAGGACACAGCCTGGTGATCCCGGGGCTCGCATAGGCCAGGCTTCCTTCTGCGCAGCCCTTTGGGAAGGGCTTGCTAATCCTCCTTATTAATTAATGAGATAATAGCAGTTAACCAGAAAGCAATATTAATGCTATCTAGGAAACTTCCAGCACAAATGATTTAGTCTTTTCACCAAATTGCTGGTAGCAGAAATCCTGCAGCTGGAACAGCAACATCTTGATGTGTAAAGAACTTAAATCAGGAGTGCCTGAGCAGTACCAGACGTAGGACATCTGCATCTATTTTCTGCTCTCATTCTTGGATAGTTTAAAAGATCCTCCCCTCAACTTCAGATTTTATTAACAGCTGGGGATGCAGGCTCCCTCAGTTATATCAGTCTTGCACAAGGACAAAGGAGAGTGTAAACAGCAACATGACTGATCTGAGAGATACACTCCGAGAGGCACATGCATTAAAACACTTTAAAATGTTTACCATTTACATTTACCGTTGCTTGAGTCCTTTATACTCCCAAAGTATTTCTCATGCCTATTATGCTTCATTCACTATCTGCTAAAATGCTTTGCATTTTATTTATGCTGCCAGGAAGAAAAACAGCAGAGACAACATGAGGATCAGGAATTCTGCAGACAAGATCCATTGCTGTAGATATTTTATATTTTTTAAAAAGAGCGGTGAGATTTTTTTTTATTTTTTTTTTTTTTATCAGCCATTGTAAGTCTAAGCAAAACATCTCTCAGAAGAAGGGATTTATATTATCTGGGTTCTGTTGCAGCAAACAAGTACTGCAGCTTTCATTCACTGATTGTCAAAAACTTTCCAATGTGCCCACTGCAATGCGGATGCCAACCAACGAATCAAAGGCATTCAGCAACTAGACAAAGAGGGTCTGATGCCAACCTCGGTGCCACTGGCAACCATTATTGGCATCAAGCACATTGTCTGCCTTTTTTTTTTTTTTTTTTTCCTCCTCTCCTGGCACTTGACAAACAAAATGGCGGTTCTTGTAGCAACGGGAACGCAGCATAAGCACTGCACTGATTGAGTCAAATATCATCAAATGATTTTTTGGACTCGGACACATTTCATACCAAACGACAGACACTCTGTGATGCCAGATAAAAAGAGAAAGAATGAAAGCGTGAAAGAAAAGAGAAAGTAAAAAAAAAAAAAAATCATTTTTATCATTAGAAACAATACCCATGACATTTTCAAGGTTTAGGCTTTTTAAAAACTCAGGGGGAGTAGACAGGGAGCTGATGCAGAAGCAGAGCTATGTAGAAGTGTATTACGAACAAAAATTATTTTGACACTAAACACTGATTACTGTGTCCTTCCAATTTTCTTCCTCCATTTCAGTCAAAGGAGCAGCTTTGTAACCTATGTCAAGCCTCTTTTTTTTTAAAAAAAAAAAAAAAAAAGATCCTAAAACACAAGAGTATCTTAGAAAGGGAACAGGGGGAAAAAGATGCTGAATTCTGACAGAGGTGGGCGAAAAGGAAAACCAGATAAAGTTGGTCAACAACAAAACTTGATAGGTTAGAGCTTAAGTCCTTATTTCTTACTTCAAGGCAGACATGGAAGTAGTCATTAAGAACTGAAAGGATTACTGACACTTCTAGATCTGGAAATTGTCAATATATTGTAACATTACTCTGCACTGCAATGCGGATGCCAACCAACAAATCACAGGCATCCTAGGCTAAACAAAGAAGGTCTGATGCCAATCCTGGTGCCACTGGCAACCATCACTGGCACTCGAACTATCCTTCCTCCTCCTTTTTCCTCTAATCTTCTATTATAAAGCAACAAAAAACAGGCTATTTGGCCCCTTTCTTCATTTTGTGCGTTAATTCCTTCGTATTTCATTCAGTCATTTGTTTCAATTTCTCTGCTTAGTTTTTATATGATACTATTAGGCGGATTTTAGTATTCTAAAATAGAAATACAGAGCAAAACAGCATGCGTAAAATGCAGCATTTTGGTTTACTTCGTGCATATCTTTTTCAAGTCTGATGTTCTCACTCAAGTACACTGCAGTGTCCAATTAACCTGCATTCACTGAGGACAGAGAATCAAAGTGTGGCAAAATGGGGAAAAAATACACAAAGATAACTTAACACCACTTCTTCAAGAAGAGAGCAAACTGATGTTAGCAGAAGTTTAAATGTGAAGCAGCACAAGAGATACAAAATACATGCAGTTTGCAATAAACAAAGGCTTCTGCTAAGGGTAGCTTGGTACAAAGGAATTAGCCAGTTTCATCTTCCAGTATATTCGCAGAGTGGCTTCTTGTAACCTTTGAAGTTATATCACAGCACGCTTATCTTTCTCATTTCATTTAGGCAAATATTTTGAATAAACTAATATTCTCTATTTGCTTAAATCAATAAAATCAGCTATGTTCTGCAATTCCTTCTCCAGTTTCAAGCTATGTCTTCCAACAACTTAAAATCAAGAGTGTAGGAGTACCATGACCCCAGCCTCTTTGGTTCAAGAGCTACTTAAACTGTTTTGCCTGCCTTTGTACTTTCGACTTTTACAGGCAGGTAAATCCATTAGAATTAATCAGTAAGTTAGGTTCTGCAATATATGCATTCAACCTATGATTCAAATTTTTCTTCACAAAAGAGGTTTGAAGATAAAAAGTGTTTGTAATTAAACTGTTAAGTGTAGTGCTTTCATAGAAAAGGTTCATGTTTACCAGACTGTTCTGCTGCTTATAGTCACTGCAGAATATTTGAGTAAATTGTCAACTGCTGTGGAGAAAAAATATATATATATAAAATACAAACGGCAAGAGAAAAAAAGAAACACAGATTTCCGTGACAAATAATTTTTTAAAAAAATTGAACCCTATTTATACATTCATGTAAACATGATGCAATACTTGGTGACTAAACTTCTAAAAGAACAATTTGTTGAAAATAAAAAGGTTGTTGTGTATCGACTCTTTTAAACCACGAGTACCTGCTCAATAAAGACATGCAATTCTACTCCTCTGTTACTAATAAAATCTATTCAGTTTCTTTTCCAGTTAGATCCGTAGTTACGTATGGGGCATCAGATAACAGACTGCCATCTGCCCTTCTGTGAGCCATTTCTGCCTACTACCAGGCCAAGCCATGAAATGGCCCGCCATCTGCAGCTGGTCAAACTTTCCCTGGTTTAGATCTGCAGCTAAGAAACAAATGTATTATTGCTACTTATCACTCAGCAATATAATGATGGCTAGAGGATGGCACGATCACCAAAAAGAACCAAAATTATCCCACAAAGAGAAAGTGCTTTTCAGAAGGCTTAGTATCAGAGAAAATCCTTCATCGACTTACAGCCATTTTCAATTCTGGGGGACCTGCTCACAAATATTTTTTATCTGAATAAATAATGTCACTAGCAAGTTTCTCCCTCATATATGATTAACAGAATAATAGATTTTACCTTAATTTCACAAATTAAATAAATAAATAATAGGTAAATAACTTTTCTGCAATCTTCCATATAAAATTAAGTATACTGCTGCAACTACGAAAACAAAATTTTAGAGGAAATTTCTCTTTTAGTATTACAACCTGGATCTTTGTTTCAAAACTCTGATAGGAAACACGAGCTAGCAATGTCAAAGATGAATAAAACGTTAAATATGTATGCTGTAATTTTGCCTATTTACTATTTGCTAACCAGTATTTCTAGGCTAAAATTTTTTCACGTTTTATTTTGAGAACGTTTGCAGTTGCTCTCAAAGTTTTAATAGCTTTATCAATTTAAGGTTGAATTCTTGGTTATTTGAAACTGAAAAAACAAGAGTAGTTATTTATACTATTTATCATGATTGTGCTACTGCACATGCCTGCATCTGTACTAACAGTACTACAGGGAAGAAAAAAAAAAAGAACTTCAAAAATAAGAATAACAATTCCTGAAGTCATAACTGGGAAAATATACATATATTTATATACAGAGAGAGAGAGTCAAATTTTGAACAGGGAAAAAAAAAAAAAAAAAAAAAGGGAGGAACTGAAAAACTACCTTGAGACATTCTGCTCTCACTTGAAAGAGAGTGAGAAACATATGCTAAACGTACACATAATTTGTACAGGTCTGTAGGAGTGAGTGTGTCTGTGTGTATACATGTATACATGCCGATTTATATATGGATATGTACCCACGTTATGTATAGAGACCACAGAACAATGTTTCACTGGAAGACAGCCCATGGGGGAAACGGCTGCTTGGAATCCGAGTTTGACATACTAACATAGAAACACGACAATCTGCTTCCTACCTTGCTCCTGCACGTAGTATGCCAAAAACAAATCAAGCTCCTTGACTGATACTGTTATGTGGTGTGGCTGGACGCAAAGTGCTGGATTTGTGCAATGCGGGGATTTCATGAGCCGCTCTCCATCCGTACTTTCCAAGGGGATGCCTTTGAACAGGATCACCATGACTAGATCCAGACGCCAGACTTTGTCAGCCTGTCTCAGGCAGTCGATCCTCCTAATCTTACCCTTCTGGTCAGGATTGGACAAAACACAGCACGGGTGCTTCTTCCCAGTCACCGTGAGCACAAAATCCTCCCGGAACTCTTGGCGAATATCTTTGCGCAGCTTGGCGAGGAGCCTGGATGCCCACTTCTGTTTAATTTCGGGCTTTTCGCTTAGTAGCTCATCCTTGACTGCTCTTTCCTCGTCCTTTGACATTCGTTTCTCATGTTTTTTGAAGTACTTGCGCTTTCGAGCCTGGAGGTTGAACCAAGTATAGGCAATTGCACGGACATGCGGAAGAAGTGCCTCAATGAACGGGTGAAATTCATCCTGTGGAGGGAAGTGGAGGGGGAAGAAAGGAGAGAAGAAGAAAAGTCAGTAAACTGTCATAATCAAAACAGCATCAATAACGATTTCTGAAAATCTTAAAGCGAAATCCAAGACAAAGAGAATAAACATTCAATATTTACTTAAAATTTACACAAATTCCTGCATAACACCTTTGATGTGATTACCATCACTGTCAGACAACAGACAAAATTACACGGAAAATCTCATTTTCCGATATTTCACTCTTTGAGAGAAGCATCTGAGGGTTTTATTCTGTATGCCTCCCCCCACTTCATCCTACATCGCTGTAGAGACTACATCACTGAAAAGAGATGCTATCAAGATGTTTTGTTCCGAACATTTAAATATCTGAGTGAACGACTAGCATCAAGAAAAGTACCATTGCACAAAGAGGACACTATACGGTTCTAAAAAATCTGAGCAGAAATGTTCAGAACGCTGAAGTGAATGCCACAGTTCATTTCTCTTCTCTGTGGCACAGAAACACAAAGCATATACATGCTCAGTGTAATGCCACACAGTTCCCGCTTTTGGAGCATGCTCTCAGCAAGAGCCTGCTGGTGGCACAAAGAGCATGCGCCATTAAACTTGATCCATTTTCTTATCAAACGTCCAACATTCCAGCACTGAAACGGCACCATTCCAGTGGTGGTAACTAGAGAAACCAGTATACAGTAAGGAAAAGTGGGGAAAAGGCACAGCATGTTGTACACAAACCCTGCACAGAAGCTTCTATACTTTCAACTCTTCGGGCTTCCCTCCCACCACCCCCAAACTCTGTAAAATAAAAGTTTATGAAGTCGAGAACAAAAATTACATTAATTTTCTCCTGGCAGCTTCACTACGGGTTTTGAAGCCCCACAGAGTCAGTTAATTTGTTAACCGATCACATGAGTGTGGCAATTATTCTAAACCCCTTAAAAATCAATCTGAGGTGTACAATGAAAAATGGCAACTTGGCACAAACTTTGCATTCTTTGTGTTTCTGCATGCTGTGGCAGAGTGACATTACGAGTGCACCGCTGGTCAAATGCTGCTTTTGTGAAATCCTTGCCATTTATTTACAGTTCCGAAATATCCCTTCCTGTCATCTGGCTTCACCTGAAGTTCTTATCTTCTGCCTGACAGCAATATGTATTGCGTTAAGGAGGTAATGCTTGGTTGTCATCTACAAGCACATCCTATAGCAATTAAATTAATTCGTCTTGTCTGCTTGAAGAACCATCCTACACATCCATGTTCATCTCTAAATAGGCTTTTTCCAAAAACGAATGGCCCTTCTGTGAACAAATCCGATGTTCAAAACAGCGCAATCTGCTTATCAAATGCTGCTGCATTTTTGTTTGCAAGGCAGACCTTAGGGGAGATATCTCCCTTTCTGCGTGCAGGCATATTTAGTTCTAAATACCAAGCAGATCGTTCATCACACTGAGCTGCACGGTGCAATCAAACTAAACCCAAATCTTTTCTTATACAATTATATTCAAGAATACAATTAACTAACTAATATTTTAGCTACACTGCTAGATGGGGAATGAATTATGCTTAATCAGAAGGCTGATTAACTCCATTAGGTAAAAATGATGAAAGTATAACTAATGGTCTCAATTATACAGAGTTCAGACTGCCATTGTGGGAGCTCCGGGCCAAGAATTCAACATTTAAATCTTCAAATTTCAAAGTCCAAAATTTCCTGAGTGATATAAAAATCTACCATAACTGCTTACCTCTCTCCCTTCACCGCCCCCAAGACAAACTGAAAACAGCACAAAAGTTGCGAGCAGTTTACCTATGCCCACATTACCTTAATAGAGGAAGGGAA